TGGTTCCCGAGGAAGGAAGCCTCCTGGTTGCCTCGGTGACCGGGGGGTGGTCCTAACTCCCCTGGCTATAAAAACCTGGCCTGAGCTCTGGCTTATTGCTGAGTTATTCCACCTTGGACCGCCTATCGTTTCTGACCCTCTGCTGCCTGCCTCGACCTCGGATTACCCTCGACTACCTCTTTGGATTGCCCCCTGGTTACCTTGCCTTCGGACCCTTCCGGCTGCTTCCTGCCAGCGGGTTCCCTCTGTGCTGCTCGCCCGCGGATGCACCTGATAAGGGGTTCAGGATCAGCTCCTGATCTAGTATTACACAAAGTTTGGTGTCTGTATGAGCTATCCAATCTACTATTTTGCTTAACATTGTTGATAAATAATATACATGTATATTTTAAAGACCTACTCCCCCCTGAGACAACAGTTGTGAGTAATAAGATGTTTAGTAGGAAATCCCCACCTGTAGCTTACTTTGTTGTTCCGTAGTGATTTGGTAATAAGTAGAAGCTTCTTTCATGCCAATATTTGAGACAAGTCACTGTAGAGAGTAGGATGCAAGTAGGGATGAGGCAGAAACAAGGTTTTACGAGCAATAACCATCAGCTTTTCCTTGACATGGTAGTAATGTATGCAGACAATAACATCTCTTAGTAGGTGATCAGGAAGGAACTTAGATTTAGGCAGTCTATGTGCCCTGTCCACTATATATTCAAAGTCATACAAGGAAGTAAGAAGAGATTTAAGCAGATTTTACATGTCTTCTCATAGATCTGCAGGAGGAGTATTCCCTGGGATACCCCAGGAATTTAACATTGTTGCGTCGCAAACAATCTTCCAAATCCGCAAGTTACAGAGAGACCACTTTCAGATTGTTCGTTGTATCTTTATGAGCGTCAATGATCGATATGGGCCTCAGTGTATTCGACCATCTTATCCTCAGTATGGCTCACTATGTCTCCCAGATTTCTAATGTTGCCCTCTAGTTGCTGTAGAACTGAAATCATGTCCGTGTGCAAAGAGCTAGGCAGTTATACAAGCAGGTCCTTCATTGTAGTATCTACCAAGGGACTGCCGGCAGTAGGGTGGTCGTCAATTGGGTCAATCAAGTCCCTAGTATCATCAGGAGTATCAGGGGTTACCAGAGTATCTTGACTGCTCAGCCAGCCCGCGGTCTGGAAAAAATCAGTAAGTTTCTGGGATCTTTCCCTTGCATTTGCCCATCGTTATTGGGGTTCACCGGGAGATAGAGGAGTAGAAGTATACCAATAAAAGTCCCTCTGTGCACAGGTAACTAGCCTCGGACACACACTAATGTCGAAGTGCCTTTAGTATGCGGCCATCCACCTCTTCTTCCAACCACGCCCCTATATGCGGTTAATCTTAATATATGATCCGCAGATTCAAAGTTATTATAGTTTTTATTGGAGCAGTCCCTCCTCTGGCAGTTAGTAGAGGATATTCTGTTCCAGCAATGCTAAACCTGAGTAATATCCACAATATCATGCAACCGGGCATACTTTTTGGGGTGTATCAATTGAGAACTAGCATCTATAACATTTGTCCCTCCTCCCAGCTTTCAAACCGTATCCCAGCTACTTGCTCCTGGCATCTGCACCTGCATATCCCTATCCTCTTCTATATTGGTCTCCATGAGCACCTGATGGGTGAGGTCCAAACTTCTTTTCATGTTGTTTATGCTCTGCAGTGTTGCCAGTTGATTCTTTAGGATTTGGGCTTCCAAACAAACAACTTGCTCACATATTGCGCAACAATATTCACCCTTGAAGCACATACATTGAGCAGGATGTGTACTGGGTGGCATTACCACTCATCAAAGACAGTGTTTATACAAGCTAACCTCCAGGCTGAAATGTAGGCAAACATGTACAAACAGATGAAATACATATACAGGATCCGTTCTGCCAGATTTGTGTTTTGTTTTACCTGTCAAAAGATTTGTTTTTTAATACATTCAGTCCATCAGACTATACGCCAAGGTGGATGACACTATTTACTGCTAAGGTGTCTTCTCTTCATCACCAGCCTGCTGACTGGACAGGAAAAGAGCAGCAGAAAACTGATAAAGTTATGCTTCTGCTCACTCTGAACTCTCCTATCAGCGTGTACCTTATCAGTATATGTGTATACACACCTGATTGGCTTACAGTCCCACTCTTCTCTCTCTCAGATTAAATGCTGCCATACAGGGAATTGCAAGAGACTGACACCAGGTCAAATTCAGGTACAGCACTTGCATTACAAAATGTAAAAACAAAGTGAATGAACTGATTTAATAATAAATACACAGTTGTATTAATCTGTGTTTTCTATATCTGCCTGGAGTTCAGCTTTAAACCCATAGCAAATACATTGCATTAAAATGACTTGTGTGTACAAACTGTAGGTGAGACTATGTGATCAAGTAACCCTTAAAACAAGCTACTTACAGTAGGTTGCAAGAGATAGCTGTTTTCAATTGTGATATGAAGCTACATTTAAAAAAAGTTGAAGAATGAGAGCCTTACTGCTATTTTCCGTTTTTATTACTTTTCCCATGAATGCCATCTCATTAACCAGTACTTTGTAAGCAGCCTGCTTATTGCATCTAGGAATACCAAGCCCTTGCTTGTCAACCACACTTAGCATTCCGTGTCCCCAAAAGCATAGACACCTCCTTCTGTCGGTGACATTTTGTAATGTTTACCACAGCACTATTAGAGAATGACATATTGAGCAAATGTTCAAGCAGTAGAGAACATTACTTATGCCGTTGGTTCTGTTCTGAATTCATGTTTTCTGTGATAAATTCGAGCAGTGTAATATAATCCATGGCGGATTCAACGAACACTTAATCCTTCTGTATTTCTTCCAGCTACCAAGTCCCTGGGCTTTAACCCTTACACTGACATCTCATTAGCCTATAAAGAGTTTAAAACTGTCATTTGCAACAACAAGGGGCAAAAATACTTTTTGTCAGAGAGAGTGCTTTCCGTTTTTAAAATGTAATTTAGGGATTTGCATATATTGATTCTAAAACATTTTAATTTGAATTATTGTCAAGTTTCAAATGCCCCCATATCTATTAGGACAATGGAGATGGGAGGGAAGAAAAAAGCATTAGAAAAGATTTTTCTTCCTGCAGTCGGAAAACGCTGTAAGCGGGAGTGTTAAGCGAGTCATCCATCATATCCGGCATAGCAGAAGGACACATGCAATGTAATCCATCAATTACCTTATGAAGCGTGCAAGAAAAATAATTACCAAATCCATGGCTTTTTTTTTGTATAACAACACACAGCCGGGCCTGGGAACGGTAGATAGGGGGATATTTGCAGCAGGGGTCATTGCTGTGTTCCTTCATTGTCCACATCATAGCAAGGAACGGTGCAGGCATGTATCTGACTACTGAACAGACTATTTAGTGTTAACTATGGATTTAACTTTTAGAGCATTGCTCATGGAGAATAAGCATGCTAATTGGCCTTCATCTGAATTACAAGCCAATTCATTAGAAATTTTCCATCTGCTATTATTAAGAAAAGGAATTTAATTCATTCCATAAATCAAATCAATATGCTAAAGATAAAGAATAAAACCCTTAAATGTGACTGGCACCTGTAAGGGCTCATATAGGTGTATCTTGCCAGAGATAAGACTTATTAATTTAGACTACCCAGGGCCAGATTTTCGCTATGTTCCTACCTAAGCCACTTTTATTATTCCTCGCCCAGAGCTTGGCAATGCTCATTTCCCAACAGCGTATCTAATTTGCATGTGGAGCTTATGTGTAAAGAAATGCTTATTTCTTAACATGCTTTATCTGAAGATTGAAGGTACTTATAGACAATGCATACCAAACATCCTGAACTGATTCTTCAATCATACAAGAGACGATATTGTTTACATCTTAGACAATTTGTGACAGTAGATTAAGACAATAGCTGTAACTGAAAACTGAACTCCAGACAGGTACAAAAAATAACCACCAATTAATGCAGTTATATGTGTTCATTCAATTTTTTTTAAATATAACTAGTACAACTACCTAATTTTTTACTTGTTGTCACCCCATTGTATTTCCCAGTACAGCAGAATTCAGACTGGGAGAAGGGGGCTGCACTAGGGCACAATAAGGAGTGCTGCAGTCCACATGATTTGCCAAGGAACATTCTGTAGGGAGGAAAGAGCAGGGGGATGACACATCACTGTGGTGCTGCTCCTTCACTGTCCAATCATGGGCCAGAACCAGGGAGGTTATCAGGATGTATCACTTAAGGCCTGGTTCACGCGCTTAAAGTGCCATTCATTTCTAATGGCAGCTAGGAATCTGTGCGGTTTTGGGCCGCGTTTCCATTGGTGCTATCGCGCAGAAACACAGTCGCAAAAAGCCACGGGTGGCCTATCACACAAAAAGGTATATGTGCCTTTTTGCCATGGTTGCTGCATGGATATGACCACTTTGAAATCAATGGGGCTGCGTGGCAAACGCAAGGTTCCAGGACGCACAGTTCTGGGCCGCTCGTACGTTAACCAGGCCTAAAGGCATATTGTCAATGAATGAGATCAATGGATGGAGAGATCAATGGATGCTGCCATTGCTGAAATCTCCTTTTGAAAATGTTAGACAGCATTAGTCAAAGTATCAAAATGAAAGCCAGAGAACAAAATTGGTGTCCCAGAACAAGTATAGAGCTGACGCTCTTCTGACAATCATTTACAGTATGGTTAAACCATGCCCGTGGCTAAAACCTACTTAAAGTGACACTAAACTTAGGAGTTAATTCTTAAAAATGCACACCACTGAATGGTGTTTTTGTCACATATCTGCCTAGAGTTCAGCTATAAATCCATAGGTCATTTTACCATCTGGCTAAAACAATTAGTAAATGAAGTATAATTCAGATTGGCTGCTTGGTGTCTGCAGTTTTAAGATTGTCCCTAACTTTTACATGAAGGATAATAAACGCAGTAAGTACCTTGACAATGACCAGGAACTTTGTTTTCAGTGATGAACAAAGTGAAGATGCTGGAAGAAGGGGTGGCAGATCGGATCCAAATGTTACTGCGCTCAGAGATGCCTCCAGTGCAGTTCAAACTTCTTGGTACACTAAGGATGCTGACTGATGGACAAGGTACAGAAACAAGTCAATGAACACTTACTCCAAACCTGAAAGAGACATGGGACCACCCGCCCAATCAGCTGCAGGCTAGGGCATTCCCTGTACTGCAACTGCACGTAAACAAAGGGTCGGGATGCTTGTACTTGTACATGATGATGACAATGATGCTTGTACATCATTGACCTTATATGGCCACATACACTGAGTGGCCAGATTATTATGACCACCACATCAGTACTTCGTTGGGCCACGAGATGACTTCGTTGGGCCGCCTCGTGACTCCACGAGATGTTGAAAGGTGATGCGAGGAATCTGACACTGCACTGTTGCCCTTCTGTTGTCTTGTACCAGTCTTGCCACTCTCCATTCTGCCCTAACATTGACTAGTCGCTGACGGCCACAATTTGCTTGTTCAGACCCAGATTTTCAGCTGATAGTCGTGTCTTTAAACACTTTAACAACAGCTGCTCTTGAACATTTAACGAATTCTGCTGTGTTGCTGATACCCCATTGCTCCGAGCGCCAATAATCATCCCACGTTCAAAGGCTGTTAAATCGCGTTGTTTACCCTACGTTGTTTATCTTCCGAAAAAATCACTTCTACTGTCGTGGTAAACAACCTGCTTCCCTATTTATAATGGTCTGGCCCTCTAGCAATTTCAGCGCAAAATTATAGTTAATTATAGCTAATTTGCCTACAAACGTCAGGTGGTCATAATAATCAGTCACTCAGTGTATATGATTTGTAATGGTGGCCCTGCCAACTGCAAGAAGAGAGGAGCACTGGGCTCCTCTGATATGCTGCCAGCTTAACTAAATATGCTTAATTGAGCTGACTACCGTGTTTCCCCGAAAATAAGACACTGTCTTATATTTTATTTGGCTCAAAAAAACACACTAGGTCTTATTTTTGGGGTAGGTCTTATTTTTTTTTTAATGTACAACAATCAACTCTTATTCATGTAGAGAAGTCTACATGTATTCATGTACAACAATATGGTGATCAGGGCAATCAGGGGTGCCGTACCTTTCCAAGAGCAATTTGCTAACCAATTGCTGGCCAGAATTAGTGAAGCGCACTTTCACTATCGATTCCTCACAGGCGAAGTGCATTTGGTATCACTCCGCCTGTGACAGGAGCCGGCGCTATAGAGGAGGCATCGGCTTATGCGGCTCTGCTCCCTTCGGAGCCGCCTCGCTTCCTCTAGCACTGGCTTCGTTGGCACCGCTGATTCTCTCCTGCCTCTCCCGCGGCTCTTCAAGTTCCCCCTTATGCCACCACCGGCCCTGGGAATGGTCACAACTAGGTCTTATTTTCGGGGTAGGTCTTATATTTTAGCAATTCCCAAAAATAGTACTAGGTCTTATTTTCGGGGTAGGTCTTAT